TAGCAAAAAAATAAATAAATAGTACGTACGTATCTGTCGTTTTCATCAGGTTTCTATCGGATCTACTTATTTTATCTTTTTGTGGAAGACAAAAGTGATTGTTACCTGCTGCATTTTTTATTTTCTTGGCATGTAATGTATTGGCGACCAATGTAATGGAGAGGGTGACTGAAAGCCAAAGACATTAATAAAAGTGAAAGTGGATTTTCGGATCTCCAAAAATAATGGGGCAATTATAAAAATGTCCACTTTTTATGTGTACATTTGCAAGAATATCACTTAAAGGTGTCCATTTACAAAAATGCCACTAATTATAGATTTATAAAACTTATATCTTAAAATTCTAAATCCTAAAAAATATTTTGACACCTAAAACCCCCTAAACACTCAAAACTAAACCCTAATAGAACATAATTAACCCAAACATAAATAATATAAAAAAAAATTATTTTGAAAAAATAGTATTTTTATAAAGATTTCAAAAATGTGGCATTTTTATAAAATGACACTTGAAAAGTGACATTTTTAAAAATTTCTCAATAATAATTCATATCAATAATTATGATTTGTTTATTTTATTTTCTTAGAAAGTAGTGATCAATTATGATTTGTTTAAGGTTAAATATTTTTAGTTGTTGATGGATGATGATGGTAGTGGTCCTATGCATTTTTTGTTTTGTTTTGGGACAAACCTAATTCTTATCATACTATATATTAGGATAAGAACTTCTTCTTTTTTTTTCCTGAAAATATATTTTATTCATTATGATAAGAACTTGGTAAACGTGAATTACGACACATTGCAAATGTACACATTGACAGTAAACCTTTACGTTTTTTACGCACCGTAAGTTTAAATTTATTCTTACTCGTTAATAATATGAATGTCTATTATTAATTTTTTTGGTAATTACAAAAATGCCACTTTTTGTATGCACATTTGCAAGAATGACACTTAAGGGTGTCAATTTACAAAAATGCCACTAATTATAAATTTATAAAACATATATCTTAAAATTCTAAACCCTAAAAAATGTTTTGACACCTAAAACCTCCTAAACACTCAAAACTAAACCCTAATAAAACATAATTAACCCAAACATAAATAATATNAANAAAANATNATTTNNAAAAANTNGNATTTTTNTAAAAATTTNAAAANTNTGNCATTTTTNTAAAGTNGCACTTGAAAAGTGGCATTTTTTGAAATTTCTCTTTTTTTTCTTTTTAATATGCATGTCTATAGTTTTTCTTTAAACCAATTTGTAATACTGCAAGATGAGAAATCTTGGTAAAAAACAAACATTTGGGAAATAAATAAAAAAGCATGTTTTTTTTTACGTTTTAACCGTTACGCTCTCTATATAAACGAAGGAGACCAGAAGTGAAAGTACTCATCAACCAAAGAAACAAGCAAAAGAAAACACACTTCACTCATTACACAAAGAACATAGAGAGAAATGGCGACGTCAGGAACATATGTGACGGAGGTTCCTTTGAAGGGATCGGCGGAGAAACACTACAAACGGTGGAGGAGCGAGAACCACCTTTTCCCGGACGCCGTTGGCCACCACATCCAAGGTGTCACCGTCCACGACGGCGAATGGGACTCTCATGGAGCCATCAAGATTTGGAACTACACATGCGGTAACAATAATATATCGATTCAAACGGTTTGACCGTAAACTCACTTTTGTCTAAAGTCGATTCACTCTATCTCTATTGTGAAGTTTAATTCGATGATTTATCGGAAAGTAAATTTGTTGGGATCTTCTTCTTTTTTTATTTGGGATCTCGAAACGAAACTCAAACTAATCTTCAAAATCTAGATATGGAACAACTTTGTATTCTAGTCATGTAAAGCATCCATTTATATTAACCAAAGATTATTGAAATCGCATTGGAAATGGAAGAATCTCTTTTACCTTAAAATTTAGTTGAGTGTTACATAAATCCAAACACATGGTCCTAACTTAATTTAATGATATATGTACATGTGAAGATGGGAAAGCTGAGGTGTTTAAGGAGAGGAGAGAGATAGACGATGAGAATAATGCGGTTACGTTCAGAGGTCTTGAAGGTCACGTGATGGAAGCCCTTAAGGTGTATGACGTCATCTTTCAGTTCATTCAAAAGTCGCCTGATGATATCATTTGCAAGATCACTATGATCTGGGAGAAGCGAACCGATGACTCGCCTGAGCCAATCAACTACATGAAATTCGTCAAGAGCCTCGTTGCCGATATGGACCACCACGTCCTCAAAGCTACATGAAGTTCTTCTTCTCCTATGTTTCGAAC